AAGACCCCTTGTAAAATTTTCCAAAGAATAATTTTCTAGAATATATCAATCCTCTAACGAACTTCCAAGTTTGCTTTTTGTGGGGTTTCTTGAAATAAGGAGCAAAACGACCTTCTTCTTCAGGCGGGAGCTAATGGGTTAAAATGTTCTACGAAAATATTTCCCATGAAATTTAACTACATTTATATGTCTGGACCTTTAATTTCGCTCAGACATTTATTTTAACCATGGCCGGGACATGAAATCTTTAGTAGGCCACAAAAAAAAAATCGAGCTAACTTTTGCAAATCAATCGAGCGTTTTATTACTGGATATGTATACTTTCAGATAATATTAGCAACGTCCGGGCTAGTTTAAATTATCATAAAATTATCGCAAAGTGTTCCATTAATTCGTAATGGATTTGAACTTATCAGAACCCGGAACTGGAACCCACTCGCACTTCAGTAAAAGTTAAATCTTATAACCTACTGCGTATAATTATGTGTATGTATGATTAAAAATCTTTACACTTTTAGCGGAAATCGAATTTAATCCGGCATAAATAACTATATACTTGCAAATATTTCCATGACATTTTTCTATTTAATTATTTTGCTCATTAAAAAAAAACACTCTTAATTATGTTCATATCTTCTTATTCATTGCGGCATAAACGTGCTACTTGTTTATTTTTGCTTAAAATATCAGCGACACATGAAATTAAAATAAAACTAGTCACGACCGACTGACTGTATATACTATAGGAGCTGAGCTCATATAACTATATATGTATTTGTCATACAGACATTGATATCTACGTACCTGAATACATACTTACGCATATCAATTGTTTAATATGGTGCTGATGTAACGGCATGAGCTAATGCAATTTTCAATGATCTGATCACTCAAATGAATAAGCGCATCTACACTTTTATTTACATAAACAAGTTTTCCTACTAAATGCAACAAAATTAAATCGGTACTTGCAATTTTATCGCTTGTAATTTATAAATGCGAAAACACAGATTTTACATTTTTTAGCGTTTTTGTATGTACATACATCGAAACTAACAAACTATTACTTATTCTTTCGTTACAGTGGTCGATCGTACAGCAAAGACAGTCAGAAGAGCTCCCAAAGCGATTTGAGCATGGCTAGTGCCGGTGGCGGTTCACCGAAGCTTTTGGCTAAAACTCCAATGAGTGAGTATTTATTTATTTATAAAAAATATAATTCTAGTGTTAGCTACATAGCTATTTATGTATGTAATAATTATGAATAAGGTGGGACAAAATAGTCACAGTTCATATGTCAGTTTAAGTTTAATTAAATAAATAATGAATAAATAAATTAATGTAAAACGGCAACGCTGACACATGAACAAAAGCAGAATGTAGCACAAAACTTATTTCAGAATAAACAAATACAAAATAAACCTCTTTTGGAGTAGAATTCTACCCAAAGGTCATATGAGGGTTAAAAAATATTTTTTTTTTTGCTGCGATGGGTTTAACAATATACCTGGCACCTGGTGTCCACTTGGCAAACCATTCCTGGAGAATATTTTAGAGTGCAGCTGCCTCTCTTTGTATACGTACTGTGGCTGTAGATTGGAATCAACGGCAAACTTGCTTATTGCCAGTCACCAGGGTGACAATCCACCTAAACCAAGCAACCAACTGGCACCTTTCCTTTCTTCTATCACATACGGCTTAGATGCTAGCGGACTTTGCGTAAAGTTTTAAATTGATTTTAAAGTTTTTTAAGACAAATATCTTATCACACCTCAATGCATCTACAAAGTAAGCATAAAGTTATGCTATTACTTAATGCATTTTCTGAAATGATAAGTGCCGGTAAACCCTATGGCGTTGACAGAAAAAGCCTTTTAGCTCACGTTCTGCAAATTGATTTCAATTAAAAAACTTTTACTATCAAAAGGAGAACCTGAGGTTTTTTTTGAGTACGAGCAACATAGTGTAAACAATGTTTCTTCATGGTTTTTACACTAATACGCATCCTAGCGACCGTTTTTGGTAAAACTAAACTGCAGATTAAGATTCCTCGCACCCGAAAACTTCCAGAAAGGCGTTTTAATATAAAAACATTTGCACTTAAATTATTTTTAGCTTTTTTTTAACGATTCCGCGACTAGGAAGTTCAAAATGAAAAAAGAGCTTAAACCGTCAGTTTGGCAGTACTGAGAAATTGCTTCTCTGATATATTTACATACATATTAAATGCAAAACAGACTTCCAGAAAATCACTGGTTTCCCCAGCTGACTGCCGAACAGAGTAATAAATGATTCTTAATTTATAAATCGAATTCAAGACAACAATTAGTCCTTGAATATCCACATACATACATACATTATTATTATTATTAGGGCGTATATAGCGCTGCAACCTAGCTAGATCCATTGTGCTAGCCCTTACCAAGTCACTCCAACCTTAGGCTGTGAATAAAATTAAGCACTTTGGAGGGTGTCATGTTCCAGATTCTGGATGGAGACGATATTCGCTCTCCAAGGTGCAAAAGTCTTAGTCGAGTAATACGCGGGCAATCACATAGCATATGCACCGCGGGTTCATCCTCTAGCCCACAAAACCTGCAGTTCGTCTCCTCTGAGAGTCCCATCTTGTGCAGATGGTACCTCAGCCTGCAGTGTCCTGTCAGATATCCAGTGAGAGTTCTTAAACCCTCTCTGCTTAAATTTAGCAGCCGTTCAGATATTCTTCGAGAGGAAGTTATGAATCTTTTGGACTGCCTATTACCCTTTGTCGAGCGCCATTGGGTTGTAGCTTGCGAGCCCTCCCATCCCCTTAGGAGTTCTGCTGTGTATCCTTTGGATAGACTAAAGAAAGGCTGAGGGCCGATCAGGCTCCGTTTGGCACCGATTTTCACTAGAGTGTCAGCCCTTTCGTTGCCATCGAACCCCTCATAATCCGGAGCCCACCAAAGGGTTACTCTGTTACTACCTTTGACACCGTTTTACAAAAGTCAAGTGCTCTTAACGCCGCCTGGCTATCCGACATGATGTTTATCGTGGACACAGACTTTAATTGCAAAAATTTCCGCCTAGAATATGGTAGGGTATAAGCCCATCGGACGCTTTTTTTTAAAATCTAGGTCCATATACGACGGCCCCAGTGTTCGCATCCTCGTGTTTCGAATCATCAGTGTACCAGACATGAGTTCCTCCCCGAACATGGCGATTATTATTTTACAGGTATCCCTTTCAGGTGTTATTACCTTGTAGGGCTTTGTAAAGGTCAGCTTCGGTAGCATTGAGTCTGTGAGTTTTACAACGGGATTATTTATGAATGGTTTTAGAACACCCTAATGACCCCTTAAGTCCCCACTTTTCAAGCTAGTTAGGTTCGGCAGTCCCAGGGCGCTTCAGCAAGCATCTTTACATACATACTTAAGTATAATAAAATTTAACAAAAATTTTTTTCACAGAACATTTTAAACCGTTAACTCCCATCCGGAAGGCTCGTTTTGACCCGAAAAAGTGGATGAAATGCGGATTTAAATATATATTATCCGTTTACCGATTATATTTTTGGATACTTTGACGATCCGTTCTCCCACTAAAATGTGCGACAGACACTTATGTATGTATGTATAGACAAGTACCGAAAATTGTTTTGAAAGCTAACACGTAATGGCGCCTCGGCACGCTCAACCACTACCGACTTCGAATACAAGTTTCCAAATGTTCGGCTTGAACAAATAAAATGCAATTACATATTGCTTATTGCTTTTTCGAACGTTTCGGACGTTTTCCGGATACAGAACTTTGTACGGGACCGCACTGTCGGCAAAATTTACTTTTTTGTGAAGGCTGGGAAGTTATTTGCATTTGCTTATTCATGTATGTATGTACATACAACATACGTGTGAGTACGCGCTTCCTACAATCACTTCCGTTTGCACTGTGAAATTAAAATATAGCGCGCTTTTAGGAGGCTGTGTCTTTGGTTTTCGTTGATAATTCTGCAGTTATGGCGAAGTTGAAATTTCGTTGCCTACATCTAGGCTATTTCCGTCAATGCTCACTGAAGATGTAGCATCAAACACATAACTCGCGAAGGTTGGTAATTATGTGACAGGAAAAGAAAAGAAAAGCAAAACCGAAATTTTTAATTATGTAATTAGATAAAAATGATTTTTAAAGTGATAACACAAAATTTTGGCATTCATGCGTCAACACTATCAAGCACTTTTGTTGTGGCAAAGTAAAATTGACCAATGCAACATTGGTAATGTTGCTCTTAACCAGCTTGCAACATTTGCTTGGCCCAACAAAATTGATCGCGTTACTCTCAGCCTCTCTTTTTTCTTCCAAAATATATGTACAACTCTTCTATAGATCGGCAATTCTCTTTGAAGGCATTGCTTGTACGCTCTTCGGCAGGTGTGTTGTCGTTTTATTGTCTCCCACAAGTGGAGAACAACAAGTAGACAAGTTTTTTTCTCCCAACAACAAAGTATGTTCAACAAAAAGAAGTTAACAACGGCAATAAGAAATTTACACAAACAATAACGGCGAGTTGGGGGGAGACAACAAAAACGTGATGTAAGCATTTGTCAATAAAATTACAACCAGCAAACGAACGAACGGGAGACCGTGTTGCCAGCCAGGTACTTCAACAACCGGCTTCTGAGATCAACACGTAGAACAGGCACCATATGGAAGATGCAACAACAAGAATATAAACAACAAAAATAACAATGCAAATTGCTGGAGATCGGCTACCTATATGTATATGTATATACAGATGTAAGAATGTGTGTGAGTGCCCCTTTGGTTCCACTTGGTTGCACTTCTTTCGTTCGTTCGTTTTTTCATATTTGTTGTATGTGTTTTGTTTATTATCATGTTTTGCCTGCATTTTTTTTTTTGGTTTTTATTTTTACTAAGCGCTTAGTGGTTGTTTGTGTTTGATATCTGTGAGATACACTCTGGCGCTTCTAGGTGATTCTTCTCTTCTTCTTATTCCATTTCCGCTCCCGCTACTCTTTTCTTCGCTCGCTAGCCATTGTGCTGTTCATCGATGCTTTGTTAAATTTTCGAGTTGCTGTTGCCGCTGCACTCGATTTTTCGGCAGTCTATCACGAGTATTCAACGAAACGAAGTGTTGTTGCTGACATTTAGTGTTGCCGCTTCAGCGCAAATGCAAATCGATCGGTTGGTCGGTCAACGGTCAAAAGCGCATCGAATCGATCGAGTTGAAAGAAATTTATATATATATATATTTTTGGTTTAAAACTGAATATGCAAAAATGTAACGCGTAGCTGGTGGCGATCGCGTTTCTCTTTTTCGCAATTTTATTCAACGAATTTCGAGTACTTTTTTGTGGTGTTTCTAAAGAAAATCGAAAATCAACGATGTTGTGTAGTGATATTCAGTAATTACATAAAAAATAAATGAAACAAAATATACATAGAAAAAGTTTGAAAACATAATCTGTATTAAAAAAATGTTCATCTGTGGAATGAATTATTGCTGTGCTACCGGACTTTAATAAAATGGAAATATTGAACTGAAAATAGTTATTTATGGTATTTTTGTAGGCTTCCAGAGAAGTTCACAGTATTTTACCATTTACATACATATGGATACATATGTATATATTAATTTTTTATTTGTGTAAAAGTGCAGAGAGGTGAACGAAAGAAAATAACATTTATTTCAAGAATATATAGCATAAATATATTAAATTTTAAACTACCTTAGCCACATAAATAAAGTAGTTACATACAGTGACTCAAACAAGTAACCTCAGGTTGATTTTTTGTTCTAAATATTTACAATGTTTTTCAAGTAATTGTTTTGTTGTTATTTTTCTATATCTAAAAATATTGCCCTGCCTTTAATCAAAACCGTATAAATTAGTTTTTATTATTTAGGAATATACAAAATATTTTGAGCAAAATCTCAAACTTTTTATTCTGAATCCTTAGAATATATTTGTTAATATATTTTTTCTGTCGGATTATCGCACTTTTTCCCGCACTTTTTATATAAAAAAACCGCACTGGCCGTCACCAAAAATAAATAAATAAATAAATAAAAATTAACGCTTGAAATTTGCACTTCATTAGACTAAAATTGTATACGCTAAAAACTGCATACCCAAATATGTTCTTAAGATTCAAATTAAAAAGTTTAAAATTTTGCTGAAGATTTATTGAATTTTCCTAAGTTTTGCACAAGTTTAAAATTTAATTTACGCACATGCTATATGGTTTTGGATAAAGCTGCGCATTAAAGGTATTTTTTGTGTTCTTATACAGTATAAATTAAGAGTTTTTAATGTTGTGGGAGGGAGTAAAAAACAAAAATAATTTGAAGGCGCTGGAAACGGTAGTATTTGTTAATTGAAGATATTTCTATGTCAAAGATTTCACATATACTTTCGTTTGATAGCCACATTGTAATATTTACCTTATCTTATCGATTAACTGAGTTAAATTTTTTAAATAGGTGGCAACCCGCTCCAAAAATATTTTTGATGGTAAACTTTCTTAAATCACCTTAGTTTGACACCCATAAAACAATATTTAATTTATCTTAACATTTAAAATAAATTGAAATTTTCAAACTGGTGGCAACGCTCTTCAAAACAAATTTTCGACATAAACTTTCCTAAACCTCTTTAGTTTGATACCCATATTAAAATATTTATTTAAAATTACCTATTAAAAAATTAAAATTACCTATTAAAATATTTATTTAAAATTACCTATTAAAAAATTAAAATTTTCAAACAGGGCTGCCACCTGTTCCACAAAAATATTTGCGGCCACAAGCCCTCTTAAACTCCTCTTTTTTGACAATCATACAGCAATATTAAATTTATCTAAAACTGAAATTTTTAAACAGATGGCAGCTCTCTATCTTTTTTCCTTTATTTTAAGTTAGATCTCCAGCAACATATCGGTGAAAACTCTATTCAATCCATGCGTACGTTTTTGAGTGATGCCGGTACAAACATACAGGCATGCAAAAATTATGGATTTGGCTTCTGTTGCTCTAATGAAGACCCTCTATATAATAATTTCTTTAATATCTTTAATATACAGGCATTGGCATGTTACTATTCTATTATATATATCATAGTTGGTCACTTCATAGGCACGCGTGCCATAGTTTTCAAAAGCTCTCTATGCAATTTATATAGGGCAGGCACAAACTGAAAGCTTTCGCTGGCCAACTCTGATATATGTATGTGTATAGATAGCAAAAATATTTAAATTTAAAAACATTGTGAATATTTGAAAAAAATAAACACGTGGTCATTTGTGGTCACTATATATCGTATGTTCTCATATTTCGTTAAGCCGATCGTCATGATATTTTCAGTATATTGTGTACTATTAATGAGTAAGAAACTTACAAAATTTCATGGTTTTATTCAGCTAAAAGAAGAAGTTTTAAAGCAAAAAATCATATCTGAACTATCGGTTATATGGGAGCTACATACATATATACATACGTCACAGTGGTCCGAATTTGCCAGTTATTACACATGATTGATATAAAAAAAAGTTCGTGTATCGAATTCCAGTTGGATATCTCAAAAAATGTTTGCCTAATTTACGCTCAGATTGACATAAATAAGCTCAGAGAGGCGAACATGATCATTTCGATAACATTTTTTATGGGTATATCTATTATTTTTTTGGTACTAATAAACATCGGACCGTAGTTATAATACCATTTCATATTTATTAAATGTATAAAAAAATGATCTCACGAACACTCTGAGCATCCGGTTTGATATTTTATTTATTTTTTTTTTGCTATTTCAATGCAACAAAAAATGTACTTAGTGCTTTAAACGCAATCCATGCTTTAATTTTTCTCAATATTTTTTTCCCGATTTAAAGCGGCTTTGTGTCGTATCACGATTTTAGCAGTAAACATGAAAAAACAAACAGGTCTAGAAAAAAGCGAATACAACTTGCAAAATGCTCTACAGCATTTGGCCAGTCGGCACGGCTAGAGGGGTAAGCAACAGCTGTAATGCCAACATGAAGATCGTGATTAAATAATTCGCGTAGAATTGAATGCTAAGCACGAAAAAAGGAATATGTACCTACCACGAGTGTTAACTTCGAAAGCCAACATATTTTGAGTATCTTTTTGAGTACTTTGTTCCAATTTTTACCACTTTTTGATATTCGTATATATTTTTCACTAATCTGCATTCTATATTTTCACACTATATGTATTTGTTCTTCCACTCCCCTTTCCTCCCTACGTTTGCTTTCTTGCCAACCTAGGTTTTTGTTTGCTTTTCATTTTGCGCTTTGCTTTATTTTTGCTCACCGCATAATGGCAGCTTGCCATTTAGAGCTCATTAAATTTCATCTACCGACCAAAAACTGAAACAACTGACTGCCATAAGCCAGCGTATTTACATACAAACGAGTATTAAGATACTGCGCTGACGATAAAACTGGTGCGATGGGTTAAACAAACCGGCGACAAAACGCTTTTGGCATTTTAAGTCGGCTAATATACTATATATGTATGTATGCATATATCTACATACGTAGATACACATGCACCTTTGTAACTACGTGTACCCACCATGCAAAACATGAGGAATAGGCAACAAATTGGTGACTCGCCGATTTATTGCCGTAGTGACAAATCGGCAACATCATTTCCCGCATGCCATTTTAGGAATATGTTATCAAAAATTCCCAAACTAATAAATTTCGCGTCAAAGGTATACTCCAAAAGCATCCGCTGACAGAAATAATTAATTTCGTTTTTAAGTGGTAATTTTGTATTCAAAAATAAGTGAAATATTAAAAATAATAAAATTGTTCCGAGCATTTATTGCCCAAATATCATCTAAAGCAATAAAAAAGCGATAAGAAAACCACTCATTGAGGTAATAAGAAAACCACTCGAGCAGGCAAGTTGGCTTTGGCTGATGTTTTAGAGCGCGTGGCCGAGAGCGACACCTTTTCTTATTGCCGGCAACAAAAATTGTCTGTTGGGTGTACTTGTACAAATGCGACAAATTCGCAATGTGTTGGCTTAGCGATTTTGGCCTTAGCTTTTAACTCTATTTTCTGACACGTTTGCCAGTAGTTTTCTGTTTTGAATTGGGAAATTCTTAAAATTCCATGAACGCATTTCCAAAGTTTATTGTATTTCTGTTGCTAACTAAATACATAAAAAATACTGATTGCTGCCGTGGACACTGTATGACGTCTTCAGACATATGCAAACACATACACATTTAGCTTATCGACACATTCCATTGACAATTTTTAATGGTAGAACATGAAATTTGTTAAGTTTGCTGAGAACTAACACAGGCGCCAAAATAAAAACCTGTTCTTTCTCGAAGACGGGGCGATGCATATTCTAAATATTATTAACACAGCATCACGGGTGGCGATTGAGGAGTATCATCTAACCTCCTTTGACGACTTTGAGCAGGTGGGTATTCGAAGTTAATAAAGTGTGGGAAGGAGAGGCTTATAGGTGCTCTAGAAAAAGTTTCTAGGGTCTCTCTCGCATTTGGCTATGTTCTCACTCTTTGGAGGAAAGTTAGATTTGGCAAAACGCTTCAGACCAATCATTCTAACAACCTTCATGCTGAAGTGTCGCTATGGCACGGTAGGAGAGTGCATTAGGTCAAAGGTTTTAAGGGGCAGCCCCCTTAGTCTGACTCTATGTGCTCTGCGACCAGGAGGCATGAAGTGGAGGAAACAATCTTAAGGTGTTTACACTTCCTCTTATCTAGAAGATTGCTGACTTTAGAGAAGTAAAATTGTCATTGAACCATGATAGAGGTTGGGAGAGGATGCTCTCTTGTGGTTTTTGGTAGTGGACTTCCTATTAAAAGAAACGCACGACTTCTTTTACAGCCAAAAAAACGCGGACCATGTTTGTGCCTATAATCAGGAAATTTGCTCAGGAAGATCTGTATAAAGACACATCGGATCCTGAATAAGATTGATTAATGCCGCTCTTTGAAATATATAGGAGTAGCTCCAGACACGAAAATGACTTGAAAATCTCACGTCGAGCTGAAGGTGAATCGAGAAATGAAAGTTTTCGGACAAATGCCTGGGGTCTGAGACCGGTTCTTGGTATATTTAGCATCCATAGCTGTTGTCAGACCCATCGCCATTCTGCTGTAGAACAGTTAGTGGTGTGGAATACAAGGAAGGTGTGTGTGTGTGGCATTATGCTCGGCATGAGTACAATGGCCGGATTAAGCGATCCAAGCGAAGTCTACAAAATGAATTGTTGACGGCATTCTTTTGGGTTATTGAAGACCATCAGATTTTCGGGCACAAAGACTTATTTTGAAGGTTGTCAGAGCAGTACCCTTTGTTTTTGACACTTTATGATAAAGTCATACCTGAGGACTCTTTTGGAGGAAAGTACGTCATTAGACTTCCTGCAAGGGAGCAGCGCCGCGATCCAAAAACTCTCTCTTTAGGAGCTAGGTAAAAACTTTCTATACCGACGGCTCTAATACTGATAATGGAACTGGGGCTGGATTGCATCTCGAAAGTAATTTCTTCATCTCATTTCATTTATCAAGTCTATTATTTACAAATCTTACTGACTAGATATATAAGCTTCTGTGTTAAGGGTAACCAAGATATGTAGAATATTTGAACACGATTAAATGATTCCAGTAATGAACCAAAACGAGATCTCTGGGAGGAAAAGTATATTAAATTCATTGAGAGCTCTTGAAATCGGGTCATCATTTTAGTATTAAGCTTTATTTACTTAATATGAAACGGGTAATGAGAATATAAAGTTCTGTATAGAACATAGAAGCTCTGGACATTCAACTAAGCCATTCAAGATATCGTATATGAAAAGCAAAGATTGAAAACATCGCCTAGGCGCAAGTTATTTCAGATTTATGAGTCCGGTATAGGATGGTAGGGGATCGTTAAAGTGGAGTGGTCCGAGGGCAAAGCAAATAAAACTTCGTTGTAATCTTTTAAGTCTAGAGGCATGAGTTGAGTAAATTGGATTTCAGATTAAATAAGCGTACTCCAGCTTTTAACGACCCAGAGACTTATACAGAATTTTTAACAGGTGTAGGGATCTTTGAAATCTCCACCACAGACGCCTTAATAGTTTAGGTATAATGACAACGTTTTTTCAATCTAAAGTCTTTGCAGTACTTAAACTAGCAGGCTGCATAATTAGCGAAAGATGACGTGGACATAAATTCAGGGTGCAGTCGAGCTGCCTTATAGGTCTACGAAACCGCTCGTGGTTCTTCAAAAATAGACCAGGCATGTAAGTTCGGACTGAACTCCGTACCAAAGTGGAACTGTCTGGTGAATTGGCGTACTGCGCTGCTTTAGATCATCCAATTGGACCGCAGCCAATTTTAGGGACAAGCTTAGCAGAAATCGTCGGGGACATCAATAATGAGATCTTAATTGATGTAAATAATTATTTTTTTTTAAATCTATTTTTTATATGAACTCTTCAACGCACTCTCTGTTAAACACATAACTTCGAAAAACATTTCTAGGGACTTCTTTTTCTTCTTGAATGGCGAGTTTAACAAAGCACGCAGGTCGTTTCTGTTCTCTGCCAACTTCGTCTGCGGTATTCCGCATCGACCACGTGCAAAGTCACGCAGGTAAATATTTCGCAGAATCTTTCTCTTGGAAACTCAAAAAGCCGTCTAATCAGATGTTTTCATTTTACCGGCTTTTACGCCATACACTAAGTAGCAGCAGGGCATTATGTGGGACTTACAGAGTCTAATTTTAATCCACCATTTATCATACGCTTCTTACAAACTACTTCAACCACATGAACTTTCACTGACATAGTTCATATGTATATACGATGATCTACATACGGATTGTTTATCTTAAAAATGTATGCCATCATTTGCATATGATTATTTTTTCAGCTACTTGTGTCGTTTCTATTCCAATACTTGTTTTGACAATTATATTGCAATAAACCATTTTCCACTACAAAATACTTTTACCATTTTGAAAACTTCCGACGTTTTAATGTTAAGAGTAACGATTTCATTGTTATTGCTATAGTAGTTATTCGCAGAGATAAAAATTTTCCCGCCAAGTAGTTCGCGTGCATTTCTATGTTTATAAAGTTATTTGCTATTGTGCTCAGAGTTTTCTTTGTTGCATTTACTGGTTTTTCTCATTTGTGCTAACTATAAGTTTTTAACTCTAACGATGGTGGTATTGGTGATCGTATCAGCTGCTTAACAGCTGTTCACCAAACACAAATTAATACAAATGTAAGTTGGTAAAATGCATGTTCAACTCACCTTTCGATATGCACCCAGGGTGGGTAATTCAAGTTGTTTAAACCACCGAGAGCATAACCTAACCAAACTCCATTTAGCTGCCTCTTTTTGTTTGAAATACATTTGGTGTGTATGTACATATAAGCATACTTATACATATGTATATTAGGGCGGGCCAATTTGTATGGAAGATTTTTTCGACTATGCTCTTATAGCACAGAAGGATTCTCCGTGTAATTTTAAGCAAATTTTCTGAAAAAACTATGGATCCAAACAAATTATTAATTAGTGGGCTTAAATTTTCTATATAAACATGCTATAACGTTTTCTTCGAAACCTGTTTTCGCAATTTGCCAAACTCCAAATTGATTTTAGACCCATAGTTTCTTTAGCAAATTTGCTTAGAATTATACGTAGAATCCATCTGTGCTATACGCGCATAATCAAAAAAAAAAAAAAAATTGACCCGCCCTAATGTACATATTACCCTTTTCTTTATTATTTACTTTTATTTGGTTAGCCGTTTCTCCTGTCTTTGGCGCCCAGACACACATATGTGCGTATAATTTCTTCACCTTACAGCCCATGCGTGACTGCATTTCTTCTCTACACTTGAATGCATTTGAAAGCACCTGTATGTTTACTCGTCGTTATGCCTTACGTATGTATGTATGTATGTTGTCATCTCTTCGGTATCGCTTCTGTTTGTTTGCATCTAATTTCTATTCATTTGCCTAAATTAACATTAAAATGTTGTAGAGTGCCTCTGTTTGCTCGATTAGTTTGATCTAAGGTTGGCTTGCACTTTCTGTTCCGGCTCGGCTTTCGTCTGCTGCCCGTTGTGTTGTGAAGAGCGGGTGGAGGGAAGGCAAAGGCTTAAGCGTACAGTTTTAAATAAAACTCAAGTGGCTATAAATTTAAATAAAAATTTCTATGCCGTTGGTCATACGCTATTTGTAAAACCTCTTTGCTTTTCTCTTCTCTTTGCTTTTGTCTTTAGTGCCGTCAATTTTTCTATTGTACTTTTTACACTTAAACCAACTTTCTGTTTCATAAGTTTTATGACCAGCTTTCATTCAGTATGACAGGTATTTTTATTTTTTTAAAGTCATAGAACCCATTAAACCGCTTACTAGTTAAGCGCCTCTGTTGATTTTCTGGGTTCATTTAGTTGAAAGTGCTGCTGGTTGCTAGAATTCTAACTACTCGTTAGAAAATGAAGTTGTATTTGGTTTTATTTAAGCTTTTAGTACCGGTGTGACCAGATGCTTTCAAAAACCGAAGCTTAATTGGCTTTGAATAAGGGTTAAACAAAAGATATTATCCTATGAAAAAATTAACCTAAAAATAGTCAATAATTTTGTGAATTTCAATATGGAAAATACTCGTACAGGGAATTATTTAGACTAAAAAATTATTATTTTCTACATCAAAAATTTGTTTTACATTTAATTTATAGCGCTATTTTTTTTAAACCTAAATTAGATAAAAACTAATTTTTTCAAAGAAATGGTTCTTTGCACTGCCATTGTAATGTTTAACGATTAACGGTAGGTTTCGAAATACTAAGGACTTTTAGTATGACTATTATTTATTATTATAAGTTCCGGTTTGAATTTTATTAAAAATATTTTAAGTAAAAGGACAGAAGAAAGAAGAAAAAAGCCACGAAGCTAGACCTGAATTTCTGTGACTATTGCACAGCCTCAAAAGGACTAGCCTGGTCACACTGTTCGGTGCACTCTAAGCGCAGTAAGTACTAGGAAGCAGTGGGGGCCATATATATACAAGCCCACGCTCTTCGGCCACCCTTTCAATAGTTCAGATATAATAATATTAAACAGAAGTGACATCAGCCTATTCTCTGGATACCTAACTATCGAAGTGTCATAATTACGACTGTGCCTTGAGGATGATGAGATTTCTTAACACATTCTCTGTGACTTGTCCGGCCTTGGCTAGACAAAGATTAATTCATTTTAAATCTCCAGTAGTCGAATACTTTGTAACAAAACGTTGACGCAACAAGCTCCTTTTAGGATTCATTAAGGGGACCGAAGGTATCTTGGAAATACTCAACGGTATGTTCTAGCTACTTTAAATTAAAATTGAGTAGACTACAGGGCTATTTGTTTGGTTTGTTATACTTATTTGTTTATTAAAAAAAGTGGCACAACCAAATTTTTTTCATTAAAAGTTCTTCTTTTTGCGAGCGCTAACTGAAAAATGGAGACAAGGGTGTTGAAATTTGCCACAACTATTTTTTTGTGTAAGTGGCTGCAAAGTGGACTTAAAAGAGTAGCGACACATGCTTACACGCCGATGTTCTGGCAGTGACTTAGTATTTACGTACCCCGCGGGGAGTTAGGAAGCTAGAAAGAGCGCGTGTACGCTCCAATCACTCCAAGACATTTTTTTCAACTTGAAATGGCCTTGACCCCAAGCGCCTAAATAAGGGTTAATAAACTCTATAAGAATCAATAAGGAATCTCTACGGCATTTCTTTTGGTTTTTCGCCTGGGCTTAGACGCTTCTCATACAGAATCTGTTAGTTTCCAAAGGTCATAATTATCTTTGTATAGTTTATGCTATTAGTTTTGTGGTATATTTGTAAATGTATTTAGTTAAAAGTAAATATTTTAAATATTTCTTATTAATTTTTCACCATATTTTATCTTTATTTCTCTCTTTAGCCATATTTGTGGTTTTTATTTTTATGGTCATGGTTGTGTTTGCGGTTTAAATACTACATAGCTTCCACTTCCTGTGCCATTGTCGACGGTCATTATTTTTGTCGGTGTAACTGTATATGTGTGTAACGCATATAGTAGATATAAATATGTGTTAAACAATGTCTCTTTCACAAAAGTTAATTATCACATTTACATTACCAAACTTGACCATCATGTTAAACATTCCATAACTGGCGCACTATGGGCGATTTAGAGGAAAAAATTTTCAAAATCAAATTGCGCTTTTCAGAGGTGAGATAAATCAACGTTTTTTTTCGTTTAAAGGATTTTTATTGTAGAATTAGGGAAAATTTCAAATAAATGTGACTCTGAAGATGCACAATTACAGAAATCATGGAAAGGACGAAGATTAAAAAAAAAATAAAATTTTACATGACTTGTAAATGGAATGGAACATGGAAGTATATACTTGAAAATAAGACCAATATAAATAAAATCAATGTGTTAGCGTGTTATCTCAGATCTACACCGTTAATTCGATTTTCAAAATTAAAGTGTCAAATAAGGTTTTATTTTTTTGAGTTGCCACCTGTTAAAAAATTAATTAAAATTATTCAATAAGGTTAAGGCTTTATTTCTAAACTACATGTTTAAGGGTTAAATTCAATTTTAGCGTTTTAACCATAACAGGTATAGAATAATTATTAATAACAGAATCAAATTGAATATAAAATGATATAATTAAACATATTTCAGTAACAACCCTCCTACACGTATTTCAGAAATAAAGCCTTTTCAAAACCTTTTTGACTTATACCCATATTGCATAATTTATTTAACTTACTAAATATTTTTTAACAGGTAGCAACTCTTTAAAAAAATAAAACCTTATTGCACATCTAAAGGCCAAGCTAATTTGATAGCACAATTTTAAAAATCGAATTAACGGTGTAGATCTGATGACATTAATAAAAAAATCCCTAGCGTAACATATATAGCACGCAAAACACTGGAATGGCCCCATTCATTTTATTGATATTGGTTTTATTTTAAAGTATATATAGTTCCACGTTGGCTTCATTTCATTTACGAGCCATGTTATTTTTTTTGTTTATTTTTTTTATCTTGTTTTTTAAGTCTCGTTCTTTCCATGTGTCCTGAAATTGCGCACCTTGAGATACGCATTTATTTGTAATTTTCCCTTTTTCTACAATAAAAATCCTTTGCTCGTTGGCGCAATTTGATTTTGAAAATATTTCCCCTAAATCGCCCACTGTGTGACTTCGCGTTCTCGCACACTCTGTGGTCACCCGCATTGAGGTATCTATGAATGTAGGTAAGCCTGAGAGAAAAAGCAGCGCTGCCACACCACTATGCCACACATAAACTCAATCACTGCTCAGTGGCCATTGTTGCGATAACTGTGATTGTTGTCATTTTGTTAATGTATTTTACTGTCGCATGTTATTGTTGTAATTGCATTCATTCACCTGCTCTGGCTGCAGTTTTTATTAAATTGCATACATATGCATGTTCGTACTTCTTTTACACTTTCATATATCCGCATACATATGTGTTTGTGGCACGTGCAATAGTTTAAAGATAACAGTATACCATAAAAAATTACAAACGTAAATCTAAGCTATATAATACTATTTACATATATGTCCTCGTACAATATTAACTGTTATTTTGTTTCCATGTGTGCGTAACATTAGGTAGGTACGCGAAAAAAATTGCACGCCGCAATTAAATGGCTAATTAGCTTTGTTGGCTGCATTTCAATGAATTAAATGGTCAATTATTGTTGACTGCTCTTGTATTAGGTACATACGTATGCATACATATGCATTTGCATTGCAGGTGTAATGACGCAATGTCGCGAGTAAATGGAATGAGAGCAACGCTACAAATATAATATTTTAATTGGTCAACATTACATTCATGCATTCGTCTAATGCGAATGCATTCACTACTGCAATTGCAAATTTCTATTTAAAAGTTTGAGATTTCTTAAAGTTCAGAAAAAAGTACATACATACATATGTTGTCTGTTATAAGAAGGTCATATGTTATGTGTAAATGTAACGAATATTCCGGCAACTGCAGCCAATTGGTTAATGATGAGTACTACTGGATACTCGCTGGGACTCAGCTTCTAGACCTTTGATAGGTAATATCTCAAACATCGATAGCCACTGGAAGACCTACGAAAACCCAACAGACTACCAAATACTATATAAATTTCAGTAGAGGGTTTATAGTACTAATTTCTAACAGAGAGCAATAAAGCAACTCTATTCAGTGTTACATAGAGACTAGATCAGAATGGAACAACACATTTGGCAGTGGTGTGTATAGGGAACGGAACAACGACATATGAATACAAACTTCTCTCCGCCTGCCAGACCAATGCAGGATATTTTAAGCTAGAGCTGTAAACCTTTAGATAGTCATCCTATTCGATGTTTTCGATAGTTGGCATTTAAACAGAGGAAGCTGTTGGCTGTCTTTGACTCGACGCTTTTGTATTTGCAGTCATCTCAGATGATAAGAACGCTGTGTATTGCTAGTGCACCCGCATGGCGTTAAAACACCAAAATTGAATTAAAAGTTTTAAACAGGTGGCAACTCTCATTAAAAAATATTTCAAATGTTAGTCGGTGTTGTAAGTAATCTGTATGCCCAGCCGTTACTGTGTCAAGATAAGCCTCGCAGGTGGCGACCCTTTTTAAAAGTATTGTTGAATAAAAATCTTCTTAAATTTCTTTAGTTTGACCTTGGGACACAAATTTAAATAAATTCATGAATTTAGTTGAATGTGATTTTTCAAATACATAAAGCTTAGCAATAAGTTTTGTTCAAACTTATTTCGATTCATAGCCATATTTTATTAACTAATTTAACGTATTAAAAAGAACCTTTAGGCAGGTGGAAACCCTATTCAGACACCTCAATAATATTTTAAGTGCTCCAAATAAAGATTTCTTAACACTCTTTCTTTTGACACCCACATTTTAATACTTCACATAACTCGTGTAGAATTTGGGTAAATATAACTTTTAAAACAGATGGCAACCCTCTTCAAAATATTTATTTTCAAACTTCTTATACATAACTGGTGTATAAATTAATTAAATACGACTTTTTAAACAGGTGGCAGCCTTCTTCAAAATATTTGCAAACTAAAATCTCTTACGTCTTTTGTCTTTTTGAATTTAATTTTTTTAACATGTGGCAACTCCTTTCGAAAAATAAACCTTGGTGGATAATTAAAAGTCAAGCGCTTTAATTTGACAACTCAATTTTGAAAATCGAACGACCGCTACAGATCTGAGGACATTAGCAAAAAATGCCTTCTTTTTCCGAATCTTAATCTTAATCGTGGCCAATGATCGCCAACATTCTGTACCTTCTGTCGCTTTTTCGTTTGGAAGCCTAACGAGTGTGTCGCTTTTTCGTTACATCGATGTTTGCATTTACTCACAACCGAACGCAAAAATTTGTGTGGCGCAAGGAAGCGTAAAATGATCACAAAAGCTGCTGAGGGTGAGCAGGAGAGAAATATCCACGAACATGGGATCCCCTCGCTCCTCAATCCACAAAACTGTGTGCAGGAGTTAACGTTCCTTCAAAGATAGCCGAGCTGCACTTAACTCGGAAACTGCTTACAAACTAGTCCAGCAAAGCAAGTCTCGGCCTAATTATCGCGGTAGAAATGAAGCAAATTTCCCTTAATTCTGAGTCTCCCTAGTAATCGAGAGTTTAGAGCCGATGAAACAGCTGACAAATTATAAGATTGCTGACTGTCCACTGCCCGTGGCACACACAGCTGAATCTGGGCAATGTTTTCTGTCTTTAAGAGGATGAGATAGCAAAACACATGTGCGCTTCTGCTTTACCTTAAAAGAGATTAGGGGTATTCAATACAAGAAATAAAAAAATCACTTAATAACTAAACCGTGACCTCATCTGGTGCACCAACAACTAGCTTATAATTCTCTAACTTGTTAGCTACTGCTTTTAATATGTATGTAATGGGTCTAGCTTTGAACTTTCACATGCTTAGCAGAACACCACTTTCAACTTTCTATGAAGTTTCAATACCAGGTTTTTGGTAAAAAATTCTTTACAGACCTCAATTCAAACAATACTTTGCAAATTTACATAGTAATTGAATTAAGCTAGTCATCACCGGCATTGTTTCACTATATCACCATTTGCTACTTTCATTCCATAAACCGCAAATTTTTCATGACCAGTCATTACCATGCGGTATCCGTAATAGATATAAACATGAAAATAAAATTACATACATATGTAAGTGCACACATGCATACAGTGGTGGTCAAAAGTGGATGAATGATGTTTCGTTTTTAACATTTACAATTTCCTTCAAGCTATAATTTTTTTGATATTTTTTTCGATATTTTTTTCTAAAAATATGGATCATGCTTTAATAAAAGCTATACATACAATAATTTTTATAAAATCTTTGGGTATGCAGTTAACAGGCCTATAAAATTTAGTAAAATAAGTGCAAGTTTTAAGCGGCTAAAAATCGCATTGATTTTTAATAATTTTTTTTTTGCTGACGGTTTTTGCGTTTTTTCATATAAATATTTAGAAATTTCGGAAAACTGGCCTAGACTTTTTTTATTTTTTCGGAAACGGTCTAGCGCATATTCTTCCACAAGAAATTCGTATTTATATGCAAAAAAGTGCAAAGCGCTGTCAACAAAAAAAAAAAAAATTATTAGAAATCAATGCAATTTTTTAGCCGCTCAAAACTGGCACCTATTTTACTAGAACTTTATTATACTGTTAACTGCATACCCAGAAAATTTATAAAAATTCTGGTTAAAAAACTTGAAATTTAAATAAAAATTTGTGGAACTTTTCTAAAACAAATTTTCTGTACGAAGTTTGCAAGTTTGATTTATAACGGTTA